ATGCGGCAAGTTAAAGCTGCGTAGAAAGATATGAGAATCTATTGTGCGAGGAAATATGTAAATTTTATTATGTAATTTCAAACAATTTTATCTAGGTAAACAACCTAGTTAGACGGTTATAATTATTATTTTTAAATTTTTTTTAATGAAAATTAGTTTAGGATATGTTAGCATATTACTCACCCCATGAACACATCTTATACCTTTAATTCTAATTGGTTAAAAAAAAAAATGGGACAGTTCCGTCAAATTGGACAACGGGACTCTAGATTTTCTCTCTCTCTCTCTCTATATATATATATATATGTATATATATATATATTCAGTATTCAGTAGGTCTTTCCCGTGTCAGTTAGTCAAACAGCTGAGCACAAATAGGAATCTTCAGCACACACTTCTACCTCTCGGACATAACTATCTACTTAACTCATAATATCACTACAGCATTTCTTACACAAACCTATATACGAGTAACCCAGGCAGTCGCAAAATGAGTCAGCTCGTACCACCAAATCAAAAAATATGGCCATATATACTTCAGGAGCTGATTAAGCAGTTACATATTGTTGGTTGGCTAGGTCTTTTCCTCTCCATTGCAACCTTCTTCTTACGACAGGTTGTACAAAGGAAACGTCCTTCCCAGGGCCTTGATGAAGGTGAGAAGAAGGGTCCCGAGTTTACAGACAAACCCTCACCCGGCTTCTGATCCACCTAACAGATTGCACATTTGAAGAGCCCAGAGATTGGCTACGGAATTTGTTTGAATTCACCATATATATACTTAGTAGATCATTTCAAGTTTTTTTTAGAAAAAATCAATACACATGTTGTTTACCCTAATATATTTTTTTACACTCTAGTTTTTTGTATATATTTTCAACAAAAATAAATACAATTATTAAACAGTTGAACACTTGAACTTGATTACTTCTGCGGATAAGAACTAAGACAGAGATCCAAACAATGATAAAATAATAAATTAAGGATGAAGGCAACAGTACTAAGACAAATCACAAGTAGGAGCTGTCATGTTTTTGTATTCTTCAAAACCTCTTGGACAAGCAAAACGTAGTTGATCCATGTTGATTTACGTGTGCCAGTTTAAGGAAACCATTAGTTCTTCTAGTATAAATACAAGCACATACTTGATTCCATCGGGGAGACTTAGAAAAAAAAAAATAGAGGGAAAAGAAAACCGAAGAAAAGAAGAGAAAACAGAGAAAAAAAAATACAGAGTGCGATGGAAAAGAAGCGCAGGATCAAGAAACTCGTTTTTTGGGACGTGGTTTCTTTTGAATCACAAACTTGAATTAAATGGCTCAATTAATATTATCTCAACCAAGCGCTTGATGATTTATTTTGTTTTCTTAGTGGTACAGAAGTGATGGATTCGTATTGCCAGTTTTATCACTAGCTACTTTAATACTAGGGTTTTAAAAGCGCTTCGCGCTTAAGCATTTTCATATACAAATAGAGTTAAAAACTCCATCTTTCTCACCAATTAAGATTACTATTATTAATAAAGTCTTTCATCATGAATAATTCAAATATCAGAATAAAACGTAGTTGTCACATAATTTGTAAATCACCAGTGTGTGATAGCTTAAACAATATGGATAATAACTTTTTTAAAAAAAGTTAATCAAACAAAAAAAGAACTAAAATATCACGAGTTATGTAGTAATCCATTAATGACAATCAAGCACAACAAAATTGTCACCCCCAGTCTATCACAAATTTAGAAAATATATCAATTAAAATTGAATTTACAAAAAAAAAAAAGGGAAAAAATAGTGTAGCTTGTCATCTGCACCAAGAAGCAAAGAGGTGGGGAAAAAAAAAACATTCTATGGCTAGGGAAATGGAGAAGATAGAGGTAGAAGAATGAGAATAATAATTAGATACTTACTTCCAACAACTTGAGATGGTGAGATCGATGGTAAGGCTGCGAAGGGGAGAAATTGAGCTAGCGGTAGAAAGAAATTGAGAGGGGCAACAAATGCACGAGGTGCTTTCATTATTTAATCTATATATTGTATTGGGAGAATGAATATTGTGAATATAAAATTCATTCTTTAAAAAATAATTGCAAAAACTCTTGATATTTTTTCCAGTTATGTAAATAAAACTCTCATGAATGAATGCATTAATTGAATACAAAGAGAAAAGAAGTAGGAAGACAGTAAAGAATTCAAAGAGATTAGAATCTCATTGAAACTATATTTGACCGTTAAAATTCACCTAATTGATAATGACTTATTTAATCTTAAAAAATATAAAAACATAAAAAAATATTTAAGAACGAAAAAAGGCAACACTTAGGGCACAAGTAAAGAATTACAAAATCTCACATTAATATTGCCAAATTATTGTAATGTAGAGGTACAAAGGTTTTTTCAAATTTTTTAAAGCCATAAAATAGAAATCAAGCCTTCAAGAAAGTAAAAAAGAAAAGTACTAAACATAATTTTCCCACCGATAATAATGACCAGGTTGTAGCACCACATTAATTCTCGAATCATTATATTGTCTGAAGTGATTATAAACGACGTAATGGCATCCATTTATTTACGATCTTATGGATTCGTGAATATAGTCCCTTCATTTTCTTGTGTTAATAAAGTGGTAAAAAGCTTTGTGGAAATATGAAAATGAGTAGAATGATTATTAATGATTCATTTGATGCCTTGTTTTACCATAAGTAAATGTAAGAAAAAAATGAGTATTGCATGAGGTAATGAGAGATAGAGAGAGAGAAATGCATGGTAAAAAGCTTTGTGGAAATATTAAAAGGAGTAGAATAGTTATTAATGATTCATTTGATGCCTTGTTTTACCATAAGTAAATGTAAGAAAAAAATAGTATCGCATGAGGTAATGGGAGAGAGAGAGAGAGAGAAATGCATGTGACAATCACATGGGAGCACTACCAAATCATAAAAGTTATTCTGCAATTATAATATAGTACTAGTGAGAACATACACGCTTCGCGCATGTCCTATGTCACAATCATAATTATGAGGTATGAGAATTATTAATGAGAAAAAATAATTATCTTATATAAAAATTAATTAACAATTTTTGGAACGTCTAAAATGGAAAAAATATCAAGTTGAAAGAAATAATATTGTAGGGAGTACTTATGTAAATTGAGAAAGTATAAGCCAGTAATCAATAGGGGAAAATGCACATAAATAACAAAAAATGACTTTGTGCGAAATTATGTATTTTCTTCAAATTCATTAAATCATCATCATCTAACATATGATACAAGCAAATAAATTAGATGTTTTGAATAAGTTTAAAACTTGCACAGAACTTCGCACGAATCACATCACATGAATTATCACATAACTTTACAAGCTCAACTTGCCAGCGATCCAATTTCTGGACCATTTTAGATTTTCAATTCATTTGTACTCATCTAGTTTTTAACAAATAGAATAATAATAATCAATATATAACACATTAAACTTAGAGCATAAGAATATTAGAAATCTAGAATTGAGTTGAAATTGAAGCAATATAAAACTCAATGACGAAATTGTACATGCAATGTAATCCGACATGAAAAAAAAAATCACCTGATGTCTTGAACTACATATGAGACTGATGATGATCTATTCGTGCAAACTCATGATATTGTCACGAAATGTCATTCAGAGAGCAATCACGTCTTTGCGAGAAACTTATATAGATTATTTATATGGGTTAATTAACAAGAAAGGAGAGATGCGTATTGTGTTAATCAAAAACTATTTCACCTTCTCCTTAATGATAAGAAGAACTAATTAAATTACACATTAATTAATTATAATTTATAATAAAGGCATTCATCTTCTCATTTTCATCGGTTACTTCAAAAAGGAAACGGCTAAAAAATTAATGTGTAAAAACATTTCAACTTCTCCTCCATGATGAGCATTAATTAAATTATGCATCAATTAAATTATAATTAACAATAAAATGCAGTTATCTTCTCATCTTCATCAATTACTTGAAAATAAAATTGCTAAAAATTAATACATAAAAAATAACTACGAAAGTTGTACAAACTCGCAAATTATGTAAAGTCATACATCTTCTCATTTTCATCAGTTAGTTGAAAAAGAAAACAACTAAAAAATTAATGTGTAAAATCATTTCAACTTCTCCTCCATGATGATCACCAATTGAATTATGCATTAATTGAATAATAATTAATAAGATGATGTAGTTATTTTTCCATCTTCATCAATTATTATATTACTTGAAATAAAACTGCTAAAAATTAATTAAAAAAATGACTACGAAACTTGTCCAAACTCGCTAATTATATATATAGTTGATAAGTATCATGATAATACAAGACATGGTTTCTCTATTCCTTTTTATAAGATTTTTTACGTTTTCAAGGTAATATTATATTCTTTTTTCTCCATTTTACCCCTTCAGTAGTAAATTCATTTTTTTTTTTCAATACCAATACATCTCTTGTAGATCTTAAAGAATGGCATTAATTAGTCAACAACTAACATTGACTCTGTTGGAAAAGAGAAAAAATGTTTGATCTTTTTTGTAGTAATTAAGAGTGAGGGTACCTAAAAAATTTCACATTGAATTTATGACAAAAAACTGAAAAATAGTAGTTATTGGTATGCGTGAAGTTAGCTAAAAGTCCCTTATAATACGGAACGGAGGTAGTATTTCAATAAATTAGATGATTTTAGGCTTTCCAACTCGGTTCGGTTTTGAAAAGCTGCCTAAGTCCGAAAACCGGCTATTCCAATTCGTTTTTGGTCATTGCTTTTTTCGTTCTTTATGTATTCCTATTCCAAAATCAAAAAGGATACGTTACAAAACTCTATATATATCTTACTATAAGTCGATTGGATGATTTGTTCGTCTTCACCTGAAATATTGTTTGTTCTTTAGCTGCGGTATTTGTACCCAAAAAACTAGGTTTCCTTCTATTCCCGCTGATTCTTTAGCGTAATACTACGCTTTACATACCTGAAGCCAATGGACAAGGAAGTTGTAGCCCTCTTTGAGAGGGCAAAGAAAGCGGCGGACGCCGCTGCCGCCGGTGAAGTCGGAGTTGATTCCTCGGGCGCGGAGAACCTGTGTATGGATGCTCTCAAGCGGCTCAAGGGCTTTCCAATTAATTATGATATTCTAGCCTCAACCCAAGTCGGAAAACGTCTCCGGCAACTGACTAAGCATCCAAGAAAGAAGATTCAGTCTTTATCTTCTGATGTTCTTGAGTTGTGGAAAGCCACCATTGCCAAACAAACAGTACACAACAAAAACCAGGGTTCCCTTTCTCTTAAAAGGAAACGTCCCAGTGGAGATTCTGATGAAGATTCCGGCAAAGAAAAGAAGGTTCAAAGCGTAAAATCCATCAAATTAGCCGATGATTCTGATAAGAAGACAAATTCTTCAGGGCATGTCAGAGTTAAACTTATAAAGATGGAAGACAAATTCTACTCTGGTACAAAGAAACCAGATCTATTTTCATCAGTAGCTCCACCAAAGCTGACTTCTCTACCATCAACCAAGGTCAAAAACAGAGACAAAATCAGGGAGCTTCTAGCAGAGGGATTGAGCAAAGTAGCCGGCGAAGTTTCTGACGACGATGACGGACTTAAGGTGGAAGTAGATTCATATGATCCTCTTCGTGTGGCTACTGAGGTTGAATCAGCGTTGTTTTCCAAATGGGGTTTATTTAACGGGCCTAAGAAAGCGGGGTATAGGTCGGTGATGTTCAATATCAAGGACCCGAAAAACAGGGATTTTCGCCGGAAAGTCCTTCTGGGACGGTTTCCTCCGACGTGCATCGCCGACTTGAGCCCTGAGGAAATGGCAAGTGATGAGAGGAGAAAGCAGAACGAGGAGATTAAGGAGAAAGCTTTGTTTAACAGCGAACGAGGAGCTCCGGAGAAGGCGACTAACGGCGCGTTCCAATGCGGCAAATGCAAGAAAAGAGAGACTACTTATTACCAGTTGCAGACTCGAAGTGCCGATGAGCCAATGACTACTTTTGTAACCTGTACTAACTGCAACAACCGCTGGAGATGTTAGAACACGTCTTAATTTTGTAAAGTTGTCCTTTTATTTGATTGGGAAAGGTTCCAATTTATCCTATAGATGACTTGTATCATGTTTCTATGCAACCATTTGATGATAATCAACTTGAGAACTAATTCATCCGTCCTAGCAAAACCATGTCCGGTTAACCGCTTTTAAGCTTTGCTAAATGCCTTGTAAAACTTTATTAAAATAGGAAGCTTGTAGGCATTTGTTTTAGCTGTAAAATTTTTCATTAACTAAAGTTTGCAGCACCACGAAATTCAATCCTTTCAAAATTAAAGCCTTTAATCCTTTAGATACCATAGAGGACTAGAACTTACAGTAGAAAAGAAACATCAAATTATTCTAAAGTTTCGTGGCCTCCAAACCTTAAAACTGTTTTTGTAAAATCACACTCAAATAAGTATTAACTCCAAATAAGGTAATCAAGTATATCATATTTGGGATGATTTGTTGCGGAAAGTATTAGGTACTATAATAAGCCTTATATTTCACCATTAGGCCTGTCAAATAGGCGGGTTGGGTCAAGATGGGTTTGGGGAGAGGCGGGTTAAGACCCAACCCAACCCGTCATAAGTGTAGGTCAGGACGGGTTGACTTATGACGGGTTGGGTCAAGACGGGTTGACATGGGTCGCGGGTCAACCCGCGGGTCAGTTGTTCATTTTTAGCTAATATAATTTTTTGAGCTGCGGGTCATGACATTTTTTTTTTTTTGGGTTAATTTACAAATTTTCAATTTTTTGCACAAAATAAGTACATCAATTTTAAAATTAAAATTTTCTAACTTACAATTGTATTTTAAAACTCGTTGGACTATAAATTTTTACGTTTCGGGCCAAGTTTAACTAGGTCGACCCGTGGACCGAACTGGATCGACCCAGTAACCGGGTCACGATAGTCGAATTGGGATTCTTTTTTAAATAAAATTTATATTTACTTTTAAAATTCGTTGGACTATAAATTTTCACGTTTTCGAGCCAAGTTTAACTGAGTCGACTCGTTGACCGAACTGGATCAACCCAGTAACCGGATCATGATACGCGGGTCGAATTGGAATTTTTCTTCAAATAAAATCTATATTTACCTTTTAAAACTCGTTGAACTATAAAATTTCACGTTTCGGGCCAAGTTTAATTGGGTCAACCCGTAGACCGAACTGGGTCGGCCGAGTAACCGGATCACGATACGCGGGTCGAATTGAGATTTTTTTCAAATGAAATTTATATTTACCTTTTAAAACTCGTTGAACTATGAAATTTCACGTTTTGGGTCACGTTTAACTGGGTCGACCCGTGAGCCAAATTGGGTCGACCAAGTAACTGAGTCACGATATGCGGGTCGAATTGGGATTTTTTTCCAAATAAAATCTATATTTATTTAAAACATACACTTGTATTTTATAAATCATTGGACTTATTTATGTACATATTACGTTGGTTTGCCTCGACAATTTTTATCACTTCCGTGTTGGAATTATATTCTCTATTTTGTTGTATAGTTTAATATGTTTGGAACTTTGTACCCTCATTTTATTATTTTATTGTTATATTTTTAAATCAAGTACCTGTTTCTAATGTTATTCTTAATTATTGCAACTTTATTTGATACTTCATTTAGAAAACTTGGTTTTAGGGTAAGAAATCAACATTATATTGTACTATTTAAAAAGACTATTCTTAAACGACCAAGTTATAAACCTCCATTTAGTTGACATTTAAGGAAACTTCTTCGGTGATGAATTTGCTCAAATCAAGTTCGAGCAATTTTTCTTCAGACATTTCATTTTCATCTTCAGTGCAATCTGCAGTCGACCAGTCGCCGGTACACACAATCGCCTCCACATTGCTTGGTAACATTGATGTGCGATATGTCCCTAATATTCTTCCACCGTGACTGAAAGCATATTCTAATGCAACGATGGTAATAGGGACACTCAGGATATCTCGAGCCATAAGAGAAAGCTGTGGATACATCTCTGATTTACTTTTCCAATAAGTGAGAATGTCAAGATCTGGATGTTTATGACGATCTAGCATTGGCTCCTCAAGGTACAAATCCAGATCAGACTTAATTCCAGTGGCAACCGACCCTCCAAAATCTTGAGACTTGTATGTATCAAAACCCTATAAATGAATGGCAGGATAAACCAATTGAAGATAATTTTATTTTGTATTTGACGGGAGACAAAAAAAAAAGAAAGAAAATGTCATACACATACTTTTTTAAAGCAAATAGTACCACAAAATGCAAAATTTTAAACAGTATAGTCAGTAGCATGCAATAAGAAGAAGTAAAAAAGCAAACATTTATTCATACTTACCGCAGTAGGAGATGTAGAAGTTTGTGAAGGTTGACTAGAGTACAAAATGGTCTCATACTCAAGGAGCAAATCCCTTAGATCCTTATCCACCCTCTCAACTTTACTTTTACGGGTCAATGGGTCGAACATATTGAAACAGAATTCCACAAACTTTAACTTATAACGGGGATCAAACACCACAGCAAGTGAAAACACCCTACTATAACAATCCCAATAGTCAAGGAACTTGTTTCTCATTTCCATAGCCATGTGAGCAATAACGAATTCCTCATTATCAACTTCTTTCTCAAGGAGCAACTGAATCTTCCAAACATTCTAAAAACAGATTTGCTGTTGGATACTTTCTTCCAGAAAACAAAGTGGTCAAGTCTGGGAAAGGCTTCATAAATTTAGCAATACTTTGTACCATATCCCATTATTCATCTGAAGGACAAAACTTCTTGAAATCATTATCTTTTAGACTCAACCAGAAGAAAGCTTCTTTATAAATCAGAGCCTTGTCAAGCATCAAATACGTGGAATTTCACCGAGTCGACACATCTTGTGTCAAGTTCTTCCTGTAATCCAAACCAAGTTGCTTGACATGATCAACAAACTTTTTGGTACGTAGCTCAGAACCCTTCAAGTACTTCACACTTTCCCTAATCTTGTGGATAGCTTTCTCAATAACTTCCAAACCAGATTTGACAATCAAATTTAAAACATGTGCCCCACAACGAACATGTAGAAACCTATTATTACACCAGCTGAGTTATCAAAAACAAAATAAGTTGATAATGTTTCCACAGCTTTATCATTATACTTGGCATTGTCCAAAGTGACAGTAAATACTCTTTTTGAAATTCCCCATTCTTCCAAAAATTCAAAAAGCTTTTCACCTAATACAACACCAGTGTGAGGCGGAGGCACATGATGAAAAACAAGCAACTTACTTTGCAATCTCTATTCGCTATCAACATAATGCGCAGTCACCGACATATATCCATCGGTTGCAACCGATGTCCACATATCTGTAGTCAAGCAAACTCTCCCAGATATTGACTCAAGTTCCTTCTTCAATTTTTCCTTCTCCTTCTGGTAAAGTTTCAAAACATCTGCTTTGTTTGTGTTTTTACATATAAAACTCACTGTAGGGTTCAAAAAAGAATGCAAATCTCGGTTTGCCTTATGCTCCACAAAACTAAAAGGATAATCATGTTGCACAATGGCAACTGCCATCTTCTCTTTATGAAGATACTGATTTACAGCAACCAATCTAGGCTCACCACCAATTTCTACATCCTTATGTTTTTTTTCATAATGGCGAGCTAAATTTGTCGTACCAGCTTTTGAGTCAGCAACATATTCTGCTTTACAAATCTTACAAACAACTTTTCTTCTTTTATTAACCTTCATAATATGAAAGCCTTTCCAGACATCGGAAGTGAGTCCTTTACGATCCTCATCATCACCAGAAGTGGATTCACCGGTTATCTCTTGAGATTGTAAACTAGACATTGTGAACTACACACCTACAATAAATCACCAGAATGAACTGGCACTTAACAAGTACAATAGACCAAAACTGAAAATGCAACATCATAACATGTTCCAAACCAAAACTATGCATGTTCTAGGGGGCGTTTCCCACAAATTCAGAATATCATAGCATAATTATACCCATGGAAACTAATAAAAAAGAGTCTTTTTATGCACAACAAGCAAAGCCATCCAGAGAATCGCATTACAGAAGTTTCTAAACACAAGAAGGAGAAGAAAGATGTTTCACTACAAAACATGACAAGTCAAGAGATCCAAGAGACTAAGGTCTAAGGATAAATATTATCCTCACAAAAACTTCAAGCATTTCCAATATCTCTAAACATGGAATGTGGACGTTTGCACAGAAAACTCTGCATGACATTGAAATGAGTATGAATAGACTCTTTGCAACATGACTGAGATAGCATTGAGATAATACACTCACACAGCCATGCACATACACACGTGAAGCAAATAACCTTAATAAAGCAATCAACTTCTCATTCTTAATTTTTTTTTTTTGAAATAAGCTCCTTGATGGAGTTTTTTAAAGTGCATGATAGTAATGATAATATCTCACAAACCATAGAAACAGGGAGCAATAGTACCTTCGTTATCATTGAAAGTGGATTTGCAACAATGAATTTGAAAAACTGAGGAAGATATTTTTGTTCCCCATCACCATCATTGTAAAGAACTGTACAAAACCTATCAATATTCCAACACAAACACGAGGCTAGTTAGAACATAATGCGAGGTGAACTAAACTAGATCATCATTAATAAATGGAACCCATGTGTGAGCACCAAGCTCCTTCATGTCATGCTCCACAATAAAATCATAACGCCCTCCAGCACGAATTGTTTCCACATGTGATTTTGATGTGTCTAAGAGCAATATCCTCTGTCTCTCAGTCTGGATTTCTGCCTGTGAAAAGTATCGTGAGAGTTTCAAATCAAAACATGGTCTCCGACGGAAAATCATAGAAAATAAAGAAAAGGTGATCTCGAACTAGAATGTGGATAAAACAACAATTGGCAAATGCAAACACAGGTGGATCATCTTTGAATGACCTCTCAATAACTCTTCCAATCCTAAAGCATAATCTTGCTAATATGGAAGTTCCATTACAGTTCTCTCATTTCATT